CGATGATTACAAAACCTTGTCGAAACGTTGTACATTTGCTGTTATGTTAAACTTATATTAAAGTTTTTCTTCATTACCCATTCAAGCCGTCTCCAGCCATTATTAATTTCTTATTTGACTAATAAAAATGTCCCCAGTGGTTCAGCAGTAAGTCTGAAGGCTTATAATATTACTACTGTTGCGTCAGCGAGGTCACGTGACTAATGTCACGCCCCTTGCTTTCTGGGAATATCTTGTACCTTCGTGAATTGTCGGGAGATTACTAGATATAGGGTAGTTTGGTATATATAAGATGGTCACAACGTGACGGAATCAATGTGTGTGTAGGTAGTGAGTAATTGAACTGCAGTCAGAGAGAGACGTATTGTTGAAGTTCGTTGTTATAGCGTTTGTTATAGAGCGACTGTTGAAAATAAGTGTATCGGTAAAGTTATATTCAGAAAGAATAAACCAGTTTTATTAAGTAAGGACTTGTGTCGCTAAAGTTTCGTCGGAACGAAGTTACGGAAAAGCAATTAACGAACGGAGACGTAACAATACTAAAAACATGGTTTTGGTACCCCTGGTTGACACAGCACAGATAGCCTATTGTGTGATTTTGTGTTTAACTACAGACAAACAAAAAGAGACTTATAAAATGTCTAAGTATACAAAGACGGATGCAAAATGATGATTTAAATGTTGTGTTGCATTTGCTCTTTAATTTACAATATTTTCATATGACAGTGATCTGTTCACACTGTATTAAGTCTTTTTCTTGATTCAAACTCAGTTAGAATCTGAGAATTTCATTTGTATTTTGTAATACATTTTCTATTGAACCTCTAAGTTATTTGTGTTTACTATCAAATCTGATCGAGAAAAGAGTATATCTGGAAGTATCACATTTTGATTTACAAAATTTAACTTTCCAAACTTTCCTGGTTTTGAATTATCTGGATAACAGAATTATAAGTTATGAATGCATACAAGATTTTGTTATGGCCTACATAATTTTTTTTAACGGCGTGTAGCACACAAAAGTAATGGATTTAGGAAAGTTAGTGTCTATTATTTTATATTATTCTAATTCTGTGTCAAATTATTGCTCTATTGAACTCTTTAAGTCGAATTCTATACAGATTTGTGTCTTCGTACAACTTCAACAGAGAACAGTGAAATTGTACGTTATTTCACGAAACTTGGAAATAGGCGTAACTCGTAAAGTGCAACTTAAAATTTTATTGAAAAAATCGTACTTTATTTAAATATGTTAAATATGCGGGCTCAAAATATTAATATTTTCAAACAACGAAGGAAACATATTTAACTGTTAGTTACTGTTTTTAGTGTTAGGCCTACTGTAGTCACATTTGGTAAGCAAACAGGTCTATATTTTACGTCGATGAATATTTTTATGTTGGTATTTTGGTAAACGCCGAGGGCTAGAGAGTAGGAATCGCTAAAACGTACTGTTACGTCTTTGGTCGTTAGTTAATTTTCCGTATAATTTCTTTTCGAAGAAACTTTAGCGATTCAAGTATTTTCTTAAATGAAACTGGTTTATTCTTTCTAAATACAACTTTGGAATACACTTAATTTCAACAGTCGCGCTATAACAAACGCTATAATTCACAACGAACGACTCACGTGCTCGACTCAACAATACTCTCTCCCTCTGTGCAGTTCAATTACTCATTACATTGTTGCCGTCACGTCTTGACCGTCTTATATATAAAAGAATACCGAAATCTAGTAACCTCCCGAGGATTCACGAAGTTTCGAGAATATGACGTGTTACTATCGTCACGTGATCTCCGCTGTCGTAACAGTACAATCCTAAACTTTTAATTACTTAGTTACAGTTATAACTTGAATGAAAAAATAGACTTAGAAATTAAATTATATCTCGTATAGATACACATGTTTAATAAATTAAGATCACTCTGACAAAATGGATAACAATTAAATATAAACTGAAAAAGTATCGTATTGTTACGTCTCTGGTCGTTAGTTAATTTTCCGTAAAAATTCTTTTCGAAGAAACTTTAGCGATACAAGTCCTGTCTTAAATAAAACTAGTTTATTCTTTCTCAATACAACTTTGAAATTCACTTAATTTCCACAGTCACGCTATAATTTAAACAAACGCTATAATTCACAACGAACGAACGATTCACGCGCTTGACTCAATTGTCGTCTCTATCTCTGTCTGCAATTCAATTACATTGTTGCCGTTACTTCTTGGCGATCTTATATACAAGAATATCGTACATCTAGTAAACATTCGAGGCTTCACGAAGGGACATGAATTTTCTAGAAGCTCATGACGAGTTACTACTGTCACGTGACTTCCGCTGTCGTAACAATATTTTATATTTTAATTAATTATGAATATGAAGTAAATTTAGATACATTTAACAGATAGTTTTTTAAACAAATCTTAAACTTTTTAAGAGTCCTTTACTCTTATATTATTGGGTATTGTATTCCAAATTGTTCCCCCAAAATAAGTTATTGAACAATGAATGGCCTATTGATTTTCTTTAAAAGTTTGATGTGTAAGTAAATCAGAATTAATTCGTGTATCTTGAAAATGGATGTTCTTTTTATTTAAAAAAAAGACGAAAAAAAGGTTCCAAGACTGGATATATTAACTTATTATTATTATTTTTAATGAAAATCATACAATTACCTACTAAATGACTAGTATATTAAACATTGATATATATCACATATTGATATTTTAATAACTAGTGTGCTCTCATATATTGATATTTTAATAATTAGTGTGCTCTCATATATTGATATTTTAATAACTAGTGTGCTCTCATATATTGATATTTTAATAACTAGTGTGCTCTCACATATTGAAATTTTAATAACTATTGTGCTCTCACATATTGATATTTTAATAACTAGTGTGCTCTCATATTAAAATATCAATATATGAGAGCACACTAGTTATTAAAATATCAATATAACTAGTGTGCTCTCATATATTGATATTTTAATAACTAGTGTGCTCTCATATATTTGTGACACATACAGGTAATTAGTGGTACTGAAATGTGTGTACTTTGACACATCATACAGGTAATTAGTGGTACTGAAATGCGTGTACTGTGACACATCATATAGGTAATTAGTAACGCTGAAGTCTGTGTGTGAGATACCAAATTCAAATGTGTAAAAATTGCTGAAGTTGTATAAAACTCAGCGACCTATGACCCAGTTCAAATAAAAATATTCAGTGATATAAGAAACAGTTTAAAATCTATAAAAATCTTAAGTTCATACAAAAGTGCTAACAGTGTGAGATAACCGTACACTTGATAGAACTTCCAAGAATTATTTCTGTAACAAATTCACAGAGAATTGACTGCTTGACTGAGTAGTCACATCTGAATAAACACCATGCTTTGGATCTGTGCAGCATGCTCTCCATAGGGTATGTAAGCCATAGATTAACTAACAAACATCCTGTACCATTTTATTGAGAGTAAAGCGTGTCAACTCGTGAAAACTCTACAGAACATCGTGAACTGCTTCATCCAGTTTTCAAGTAAACAATTTGAATATGATGTGTTAACTATGAAGGATTATGGTGAGAACATTACTGTATTCTGAGCATGGGGTGTGACCTATCTGAGAAGTATATCCACGGATATTACGATATCTTAAACGTGCATGCTCCAGGGACTTAACAGAGATTTTTGTCTATAGAGTAATTTTCTCTTCCACAAAATACTGGCAATTCGGGGTACTGAAATGACCCACTACGACTTAGATCTTAAGAAACTTTACCTGACAAATACCGCAGTATATATAATTCACCATACCTGTTACCTGATGTTAGAAACATATCCCAAAATTTACTAGTGATGTGACAATAGTCTAACGAAAATATATTGACAATTATCAACACATAAATTTACCACATGATCTTACCAGTGGTATACTAACATACCAGTATTCTCCAAACCTTCATCTCTGTATACTGTAAAATAAAAAATATATCAGTATTACAAGCAGAAAATTGTTTATTGCAAACAACAAAAAAACTTTTGCTCTGGATATTATGCACACTAGAGGCAATTTGTGTTTTAATTTTAAAAAACCTAACATTTTCCTCTTAAAATATACAACTTATTCTAACTTAGGAAGACTTGAAACATTCCCATTATTATTTATTTATATTTGGGTAACCAACCCTTTTGCTTAAGTAAGTACAAAAAATTTTTTGAATGCTCAACAAATATACGAGTTGTACATAAGCTAAGCCTTCTCATTTTATTTAATATTATAATTAATAATATATTACACTTTGAATGAAATACCCTGACACAAGGAGTTAATACTCTGATGTATACATACCAACGTGTAATACAACTAATACACTCTGACACAAGGAGTTAATACTTTGCTGTATACATACCAACATGTAATAAAACTAATACACTCTGACACAAACTTCATTGTTTTTCTCCACGAAAAACGAACCTCAGGACACAAGTAAAATTATCTTTTATAAATTATAATATATGGCACTAGAGCGCCGCGCCTATAATTTTTGTTTGCTTATTTTTAAGTTAAAACGTAGAACTAAGAAAAATCTTATGTTCTTTATATTCAACTAGAAATTTTAAACCAACACAATTTTGAGGCCTTAACCACTATTAATATTATGAGTTTACACGAATTGAGTAAGTCGAGAAGTGTGAAATATTCTGGTCACTCTGGTGGTATTAAAATTAAAAATTGGACCAACTCTACACGTTATTATCGTGTAGTTCAACGAATTTTTCGTTCACTCTGGAGTGATTGGTGAAAGTACAAATCAGAGCTACTGCAAATTTTATACAAATTACAATCATATAGCACAAATGTTTACACTAAATGCAAGGGTACGACAATAAAAAATCGACATAAATCTTTACAGCATAAGCTCTTTTTTATTAATAAGTTTAAATAAATTAGATTACGCAGTTCCTGTATGTAAGTATCTTCTATTTTAGTCATAAGCCGAGTGTGGTCCATTGGTTAGCGCGTTGGGATTCAGACGAACAGCCTACGGGTCAAAACAAACTGCTGGTCACCACGCTTTGCAGTTTCAGGCGTAGGTACATTGTAAAAATGGCGGCGAACCCGTTATTCGATTCAGAGATCAAGGAAAAGCATTACTGGCAGTAGGTAACTCTGTTCGATAGTTTAAAATCAGAAACGGGTACCTGAACCAAACCACAAGGATCTCTAACGTGGGTTTGGCCCACGATCACACTAGGTGCTGTTAAAGGCCGTTAATCAGACACGAGTGTGGATACTGACTGTTGACAAAACAAATAAGAGAGAAACGCGTGACAAGTAATGAAGATATCATGGATATAAAAAAATTTGATAAAGTGTAACGCAAAACATTGTACTGCATATCATTTTACTGCGCTGGATTTATAGAACAAATTTTTCGTACATTTTCAAAAGTAAATACATCCAAATGGAAGTGTAATAAATGCCATTACGAGGCATGGCATTTTTAAAAGAATTTTCACTGATAGAGCAAACTTTCGAAAAGGGCCCAAAATGTTTTAGAATTCCATCGTTTAAACCAACCAATCACTATACATATCATTTGCAAGCAAAATATCACTGGTACTGAAATGTGTGTACTGTGACACATACAGGTAATTACTGGTACTGAAATGTGTATACTGTGATACATACAGGTAATTTGTGGTACTGAAAATTGTGTACTAATTCGTGGTACTGAAGTGTGTGTGTGTACTGCGACACGTCATACAAGTAATTAGTGGTTCTGAAGTGTGTGTACTGTGACACATCAAATATGTAACTAGTAGAACTAGTGTGTGTACTGTGACACATTACATAGGTAATTTGTGGTACTGAAGTGTGTGTACTATGACACATCATATATGTAATTAGTAGTACTAAAGTGTGTGTACTGTGACACATACAGGTAATTACTGGTACTGAAATGTGTGTACTGTGACACATACTGGTAATTACTGGTACTGAAATGTGTGTATTGTGACACATCATACAAGTAATTAGTGTTACTCATGAGTGTGTACTGTGACACATCAAATATGTAATTAGTAGAACTAAAGTGTGTGTACTATGACACATTAGATAGATAATTAGTAGTACTTAAGTCTGTGTACCGTGACACATTATATAGGTAATTAGTAGTATTGAAGTGTGTACTGTGACATAGTAGATGGGTAATTAGTAGTATTGAAGTTTGTGTACTATGACACATTAGATAGGTAATTAGTGGTACTGAATTCTGTGTGACACATACAGGTAATTAGTGGTACTGAAATGTGTGTACTTTGACACATCATACAGGTAATTCGTGGTACTGAAATGTGTGTGACACATACAGGAATTCCTGTATGATGTGTCACAGTACACACACTTCAGTACCACGAATTACTGGTATGATGTGTCACAGTACACACACTTCAGTACCACTAATTACCTGTATGACGTGTCACAGTACACACACTTCAGTACCATGAATTACTGGTATGATGTGTCACAGTACACACACTTCAGTACCACTAATTACCTTTCTGATGTATCACAGTACATACACTTCAACAATGATCCGAATGATGTGTCACAGGTATCTTTGTGCTAAGTCTCATTTTGACTGATGGAAGTATAAGGGAATTACAGGCCAGAATGTGTTTATTGGACAACATTGGAAAGAAGATGAAAGGAACATAGGAAGTACAGTATGTCTCCTTCCTTCTTAGGAAGACATAATTACTTCCTTGTTGTATCTTGGTTGGTATAGAGCCAATAGAAACTTACAAGAGAAAGATTGGTGAATAAATTACAACACAACTGAAAGACTTTCAGAAGATAAACCTTTCTTCTTCAGAAGGAATTTATCTATAAGAAAAGGAGATCTACTTTCAATCATGCTTGAGTTATTCAGCTTTGTGTAATGTAATGTATGTATTTTCTGTTTTTTTCTAACTATCGATCATGTGAGGAAGTGGTGATGATCATGAAAACAAACAAAAGCAACAACTTATTTCCTGTATGAAACAGGAAGTAAAATTTTATTAACTGCTCACAACAGAAGTAACAGTAAGTTAGGACCAAGTAAAAGTTTATTAACTGCTCACAACAGAACTAACAGTAAGTT